TCCTTTAAAATGTCATATAATTAAAAATGAAATATGTTCATAATATTAATTTAGCAGAATGTATACTTTTCTATGAAGAGTTAATGTGCCTTTTACCTTTATGCTGTTATTCCTTGCTAGGGATATTCACGTATTCCTGAGTTTGTGAACTGAAATGTATATTCTTGATTACATGCTATGTATTTCTTACACAGATCCCAGTGGATTTTGAAAGCAGTGAAAGGCACCAAATGTAATAATGTTTCCAGCAAGTCAAATTTACTATATTTTCTTGATTGGTACAGGCTACCACACTACTAGATTATTTTAGAAACATGTTCCCAAGGTCAAAATGAAAAATACCAGTTGGTTATTTACAGATGGTTGCTAAATTTTAAATGTTAATTTCTAAAGCCTAAATTAAACATTCCAACAGACATGAATAACGCAACCCAAGGGCCTGTTTTCCTAGATGAAAACAAGGATGACCAACTGTAAACTAAAGGCTCCTCTAGGGCTTATCTCCTTACAATTCTAAAATCCCATCCCTGCACTCTCAAACCACACATAATTGTAACACGTGCCAACACTTTTTAACTGATGCATTGCTTTCTTTCCTCAGTGTTCAGCACTAAGCAACCTGAACCTCTTGGTTTTAAAAGTCATTGGGGAATTTTTGTTAAAATCTGTAAGTGCTACCTTTGTGCCTGCTTTGTTCCAGAAAGGACAAGACAACTATAAGCAATGCCTACTTGACTTTTTCATTCCTACAATCTTCTCCTCCTCTTTATAAACTAGTATTTTCATGCTGATTTAGTTTTAAATGAGAAGCAATGATATATTTATTTCAAACAATGTTAGTCTTTCAAAGAAGGATGAGGCTTCAACCATTCATTCAACAAGGATTTATTGAGTTTTTGCCAACTAAACAGCCATAGTTACAAGTTTGGGATCTAGTGGGGGATACAAACAAATAGGCAATTACAGCAGAGTGTGATAAATGCATGACAGGAAGATAAAGAATGCTCTGAATCCCACAGAAGGGACAGTTCATCCAGATTTACGAGGATCAGAGAAGATTCCCAGAAGTGAATTTAGCTGAGAACTCAAGGGACTGTGTACTTATGGGTAGCAACACCACTGAAATGCCAGGTACAGTCAATCTAAATGGTGTAGCAACTGAAAGTCAGCATTTCAGTCCTGATACAACAAATGGTAACCTTACCACTGCAGTCACATAACCCACTGATTGGCCACAAGTCACCCAAATACCACATTCTATCCAGATTTCCACTTCCTTTTATTTTCTATAGTCTCCATTCTTCTGTCCCAGTTCACTATCTTTACCAGCCTCATACTTATCAAGCTTTTAAACAAATATTTGCCAAGAGCCTATGTGGGAACAAGTATGATGAACACTGGACACAGGGAAGGGAGGCACTGGGGCCCACCACAAGGACCACAGGACCACACATGTGATGAGCTGAGAAAAGCTACATGATTGTCCATTGGTCCATCCACTCCCCACAAACCTTACACTAACAATCCTGTTTGTGAAACAAATATCCATATGTTGAACTTATGTTAGTTTTGAAACATTTCTCTGAACCCTGAATCTGACTTATTCTGAAGACACCAAAACTCCCTCCCTGAACTCTTTTCCTCTGTTCCTCTAAACATTATTCCTAAAAAATCATAATTTCTTGTTTCCAGAGAAGACTGATATTTTCTTAACTGATTTCTACATATTACTGTCGATATACAATCACAATGCTGGGAACAAAGACAAATACTACCAAGTTGTGACCATCTGCCTTTCTCAAATTCATTGGACGTTCTACAGGCTAAGTGAATAGCTAGATGAGATTACTTTTTAATTTCTCTTCCAAATCCTGCAATTTTATGATTCTATAACATAATTGGAGACATTTTTCTATGAGAGCTATAGGTTGGTAAATTATCCCAGCCTAAGATGTTATTATAAAGGAAAAATGGGTCAGCATTTCAATAATATTTGGGTTTTCAAAGTTGCCAACATAACCTCACTGCCAATGGGCAAGAAAGACCACAGCTACATGCATTAAGTAAACCAGGGTGTGATATTAGGTTACAATGAAAGATACACTCTTTTACTTCAAGAGATCAACTAAACACAAAACTTAAGAAATAAATTTAAGAAGAATGACCTAAATGCTTTGGATTATATGATACTTCTGAGTGTGTATAATTATTCTCCTATACTTTCCAAAAGTGAATCTTCATTATGTTTTGAGATCTTAGTACTAGAAAACATAATAATTGTACTTCATCTTTTAGGCTTTTTGAATAATATTCCAGACATGTAACAAGTATATGCCCACGCTCATGTGCTATACAGTCTCATAGATGTTTTAGTGTACCATGCTTCACACATCCAAAATGGAGAGTTTGTCAATAAGATCCACATCTTCACAACACATCTCTCAATTTGTACACATCTCTCAAGTTTATCAACGAAATCATAAAGACCAGAAAGCCACAGGTCTCAAGGCTTGCACCAGGAGCAACGTGTAGGGGAAAAGTCACCATAAGCAACCATGTTCTTTCCAGCCAATGATCTCTTCCACTATTATGTGAACAGCTTTAAGGTCCCAAGCAGTTCTTAACAGCTCAAAACTTCCTAGCTGTGTGACCCCAGTACCCAACTTAACCTCTCTGGGCATTAGTTCTTTATGTACTACCAAGAGGGAGAGACAGAGACAGACAGAGACAGAGAGAGAGAGATTGAGAAAGATTTTCATAATACCTAACCTTCCTCATAAGATTGTTGTCATACTGTAATAATTTCCTCACCTAATCTGAAGGTTATTGGAATGCAGAAAAACAATGGAGAAGCCACTCTATTCTAAAGAGAAAGGTTTTGTAATTGCTATGGCTCAGTTGGTTAAGTCACATATAATTAAGTCTGGAATTTCCAAGGACAAAAAGAGATCTTCTTCATAAAACACCTAACATAATTTTTTAAAAAACAAAAAGTGGTATTAAGGTGGAAAGCTCTAAGAACTGGCTCTTAAAAAGCAGGGTAGCACACCTGTAATCCCAGCACTTGGGAGGCTGAGGTAGGAGGATTTCCATAGGTTCGAGGCCAGCCTGGACTACATAGTGAGTTCAAGGCCAGCTGTTCTACATTGTGAACTACATAGCAAGACACAGTCTCAACAAAAAAAAAAGAGAGAGAGAGAGAGAAGGGTAGTAGCACTAAGTCACAAGATTCCTCCATCAACTACAACCAAGTTTTTTATATTATCCTACTTCTCAGTGTTCAGATCTATTACTAAATCCAGGGTCAACCACCTTTAAGCTCTATATATAATTTGAGAATACACAGAAGGGCAGAGAAGAAAAAGGAAATGGAGCCCAGTAAGAATTATTAAATAATTGGATATCTGAATAAATGATAGGTTACATAGATGGGGCCTACAGATTGAATCCCTCCACATCCCCTGTGATGTTCACTGCTGCTATATTTGGCAGGAAACTAAAACTGTCACCCAAGCAACATCAGTCTCATCAGAAAGAAGAGAGCAACATGAGAGCAGAACTGGTTCAGAAATTGTGAATCATTTTGAAATAGCCAGGCAGGCCAAACCACATCAACATTACATTTAAATAAAATACATAGACACAACCACCAAAACAAAGTGATGACTTGTCAGAACTCTAGTTCTGCTCTCCCTATCAGGCCTGCTTGGGATGCAGGTAATTAATTTTGCAATCACATTCTCAGTAAGGTTCCTCGATGATAAGAGAGACCTCTAATTTCCAAGGGAAAGGACCCTATCTTTCACAACCACACCTTCAAAGTCACTAAGTTTACTGCCCTAGTGGGTACAATCTGGGCCGAGGTACACCTGTAGGGAAGGCCGGAGGCCAAAGCAGCTGGAGAAGGGCTGTTTCTCCAGTAGAGGAAGCAATGGCTGCTGGCCAGTGGAGGACTAAGTAGAGAAAGCAATGGCTGCTGGCCATCCCCTGCCAACTCCAAGACATCTAAGTCCCACACTGCCTCCACTCTTAATGTGAGGGGGCCCTGGGCAGTTCTGCTTCCTGCTCTCCATCACACTCCATCTAGGAATGCTACTCCAAACATTCTGAATTTTCTGAAACTCAAAGCTAGTAAGGATGCCCCGAAGCCCATGAATTCTGAGTGTGACTAGAATCAGACCAGGAGAAAGCACACTCCATCCCTCCCACCACACTATCCCAGAATGAGTTCTATCTCCAGATCAAGAATGTCTCCTTTCTTCCATGTGTTCATGTTTGCCCAAGCAGTAATCCTGTCACCAGGCTTTCTGTTTCACATAGCACCTTGATTTGGGATGTGTTGAAAGATCTACTAGACAAATGAAGAACTCACATGACGCTATCCAATGCTCAAACTCTCAGTGGAAAAGAGTCTTGTTTATAGAAGCAGCGTTTTTCCAAAGGCCCCCCAACTCTTCACACTCTACACGCAAAGCCGTGGGCTTAAGCAATGCCTCTGCCTCCTCTTGGGCTACAGAAAGGAGATCACAATGGAAAGTCTGCCACCCCCTCAAAGGAAGCAAACTTGGAATGGCCTGTACCCTGAGCATTGCAGACACTCTGGGAGGAGGGCGGAGAGAGAAAGGGTGCCATCTGGGCAAAGTTGCTTATGGCTCTTGTCTGACAGAGTGCTGCTTTCTGGCCTGTTACTGTGTGTCACTTTCAGCCACTCCACCCCCAGTCTATTTGCCAAATACTCCAAGATGTTTCTGAGAGGTTCTGAATTATTGACAAAGCTAGGGAAGATGCTTTGGAAAACATCAAGCAAAAAAAAAACAAACAAAAAAACCAGCCGTCCACAGCTAGTGCAAACACTTGGTCATTAGCACTTTCCTTTTTAAGTCCAAAGGAAAAGGAGAGAAGGAAAAAAAAAAAAGCCTGTCTCTGCTCAATAATAATGATATTCACAGAATAACAGACACTGAAATTCCAAAGTTCGAGATCTGTCCAGTTTTACTCACCCCTAGCCATCTCGCTCCTTTATTGGCAGCCTGTTGAATCTGGACTCTTTTGAGGGTGACATGGTAAACAGCTCCTTCCTCTACCTCTTCACCCCAGTCCTGAATCGAGCTCTGCCGGGGATGGGATAAAGAGAAAGAAAAAAAGTGGTTTTTTTTTTCTCTCTGCTAACCACAATCTATCCCAGCTGCTTTGCTGCTTACAACAGCACTCAGGGCACAAGATGGGCTGTTCAAAATAAATATTCCAATCAGAGCAATACAAGACACATTGCAATAGAGGGAATGCTGAGATTTTCTTGGCCCCTAGCCCTTTCCTGTGGTATCAGGATCTCCGGACTTTTCCATTTAATTACTTTTCCTAGACCTGTTCACATATCTTAAACATTTTTTTAAGTCTTTTTTTCTTCATAAAGAAGCTATGGCTTAGTCCTGATTAACTTTTCCCCCTTTACGTGAAAAGAAAAATAACTCATTTGTCTAAAAAGTTTGTACTTTTAAAGTGGTTCAGTCATCTGAGCATACTAGATTTCAAACTCAGACACAAACAAGTGTTGATATGCCAAGAGTCCTCACGCCTTTGGAAGTGAAATGCTTTGCATGTCCTTTTCTCTTCTTACTGTTTCGGAACCCCAAAAGTTAGCAGAGGTGGAACTTTTTATTTCCGTAAAATAATCTGGCAAGCGCAGAAAAGCAACACATAATCATGCAGCTTCAACTAGCATTTCTGCAGCGACCCCCTGGATTTCCCTGTCGCCAGCTCTTACACTGGGGTTAAAGGGCCGCCGGGACTCAGAAGCGCTCCACGGTTCACCCAGACTTCACGGCTCCTTTCTCTTCAAAGTTCTCTCCTGACAAGCATCTGCCCAGACACCCCCAAGGCAAAGGCTGAGAAAGTAGGTATCGTTCAGGGAGAAGACGCGCGGAGAAGGAGGAATACAAAGCAGAGTGAGAAAGCTTCGGCTCGCTAGTTCAGAATCGGATTGCTCCGCTCGCTCCGGGAGTCCAAAACACGCCCAGGGGAAGCAGAAGATTCCCCACCAGAGCAGCCTGGGGAGAAGGCAGAGAGCTCTCGTTACCATTTTAGCTTGCCAAAGCAATTTCATTCTCAGCTTTCTCTCCGGTTCGTGGACGCTGCATGATGCGCCCTGCTCCAAGGCCAACGCAGCGTCTGCTGGGCTCAGCCCGGGGCGGTTTCCGCGGCCAGGGTCCCGAGCGGCCCCGGCACAGACACGCGCCGCGCTGCCCGCCGCCGCCGGTGCGCGCGACTCGGACCACAAAGGGAGCGCGGCGAGCGGGCGGCGAGGAGGGGCAGACTCCTCCCCACGCGCTCCGTGATGTCAGGCTTTCCTGTTTGTGCTTGCGAGCGCACTCTCCCTTTCTTCAATCCCGTGGATAAAGTCAGCATGAAATCATTTCTCCAGCTCTGAAGGGATCAAGAAACAACCCTTTCAAGTTTATCAGGTTTTCCTGATGGCTACCAGGTGCCAAAACAGAACCATGTGTGCGGTGGGGGGTGCAAGCCTGTGTGTCTTCTCCTTCCTTGACTACAAGGAAGGGAAGCGAGGACCAGAAACACTTCTATTATCTATTTGGAATTTAGAATAATTAAATCAAAGTAACCTTGGTGAGAGCAGCAATTGTAGAAACCAGGAAGTTGTTCATTAGGACCAAGGATAAGGTTAGAGGATACCTGGATATCCAAAAACCATGCCCAGGGCCGTACCCTGTCCTGCACCGCAGCCTCCGACAGGAAATCGCTCTGGACTTCTTTCCACCACCCACTCCGATAAGGCTCAAATACTGAGTCACTGGCTGCTGTGGGTGGGAAGGAGACAAGAGGACACGGGGGGGGGGGGGCTTCACGGGATGCCCCAATGGGAGTTTTATCATAACAAAAAGATCAGTGTCAGGATAAAAGATGATTGCATTTCCTAGATCTAAGTTTTACTAAACCAACAGCAAGAGATACAATCAAGTTTGGCACCTGCCAGGATTCCATGCCAATTACGAAAACCTTTGGAGCTTGCACGTATGCTTCATACTATTCACCCTAAATGAATGTAATCACCTTTAAATTAAAAGGTGGGTGAGGGTCATTGCCATGCTAAGGCATAAGACTGGACTTTAGTTAATATTAAATATATCCTGAGCTAAAAAGTTAGAAGACTAAATGTGCTGAGTTTCCCAAAAGAGTAGAATAAATGACAGCAAGGCACATCAAGAAAAACAAAAAGATCTTCGGACACTTGAGAATACCTTCAAGTCACCCAGGTAAGTTCCCCTTAACCCAGACTGACAGGGCACAGTGACTATGTAGAGAGAAGAATGCTCTTTTTACCATACTGAAGTGGTTGTTTCTGTAAAAAACAAAAAGGAACACCATGCAGACTAGATCCTTCTGTGACGACCAGGACTGGGTGTGCACAGAGCCAGGGGAAAGTCACACGGAGGCCCCTCCTGCCAAGCAATGCTCGGGACCCAGAGGACCTGTCTGGAGATGCTGAAGACCACAAAGCAGTGGGGGATGATTTAGCAACCCATAAGATTAATTTCACCAGCACTTAGCCTGATTTTTATGTGTAAATTTAGGGATTAATGTAAATTTTCCACTTCAGAGACATCAAGCAGTTCTTCAGCCTCACTCCACTCAGGACCCCCTTCCTGGGCAGGGCAGCTTGCAGCACACAAGGCCCCACTCAGGTTTCAGATGTCCTCACCCTCCTCTCCTCCCCAAACTCCCTGCCTGGCCACCTGGCATGTCGAGGGTGGAGCCATGGATCCAGCTTCAAATCCAGGGTTACAGCAAGAGTGAACCTGGACACTACTTCCCTAAACCTACATTTCCTTATCCAGAAAATGGAACAAATATCTATTCATAGAATTTGAAAGAAAATTGAATGAAATAATGTATACAAATCTATTACATAGCAAATGATCAAAAATGTTTCATTCTCTTTATATTACACTTCCTCTGAAATTATATTTACCTAAATTTCATGAAAAGTTGTGCTGTGTATGCAATGCAGGGAAATCTGAAGTCAAGTTGTCTCAGGGAATTAAATTAAAATTTCAGGAAGCCTGTGATCCCAGCACTATGGGAGGTTGAGGCAGGAGGATCACAAGTTCAAGCCTAGCCTAGGCAACTGAGCAATTTAGCAAGACTCTATCTCAAAATTTAAAAAAATTTTAAAGGGCTGGGGATGTAGCTCAGTGCAAAGGCTTTGGGTTCAATCCCCAGTACAAAAAAAAAAAAAAATCCAGAGATTTTTAAAAAGAATAATTATTTATATTTATGCCTGATAACCTATATAATTTTGTACAAATCTTTTTCTGCAAAAAATAAAACCACCACCAACAAAAAAGGCTAGTTTTAGGCTGTGGAGAATAATCAAATGTTGCAGTTTTTATATTTATTTTAAAACATTTCACCTCTAGGCAGTGTAGTCAGTATTACCTTATTACCAGTACATTGGGTTAAAATATTCCAGGTCAATATGTGGGAAGGATAAATCAGTAAATTGTTTAAGACTCATTTTGAATTTATTTACCAGATTAGCCTATGCATAACCTAGCAGGGTCCTGAGAAGACAGTGTAAGTGTTTTAAAATAATCTGATAATGTTCTCAGTGTATACACTTATCCTCAATCTTAGCAAGTTGTATCCATTAAATATGTTCAGTACTGTCATTCATACCTCAATAAAGTCATTTTAAAAAAAAATTTTTCTTGGGCCAGAATTTAGCTCAGTGGTTTCGCCGCCTGCTGTGCAAGCTCAAGGACCTGAGTTCGATCCCCAGTACCAAAAAAAAAAAAAAATTTTTTGTCTTGAAGATATCAATGTAAATTGATAAGAAATAACAAGCTCTTCGCTTTATCATCCTCAAACTCAATACTGGACTATAATGTCCTATGCCCAGTCAAAAGTTTAGAGGTAAAAAAAAAGTTTAGAGGTAAATGCTCCTAAGAGGATAATGATAGTAATAATTATGTGAAGAAAAGTAAATAAGTAGCGGTCAGGATTTCTCTTTGTGCTTTTAGACTACAGAGTACAAACTGTCTCTACCTGCCTCCAAGCATTACCTAAACAGACTAGTTTGTGGATTTTTAATGAAGTTGATAATACTTTATTCATAATCTATATCTTCAGCTATCCAAAGATTTTTAAAAATTTGGAGGAAATATGCAAACAAATCTATTACTTCTTAATTCCTTGCTCCCACAAGATCAAAATATTATGAAAATTCCAACTACTTAATCTTTTGAATGGCCCTATAAAATGTATCTCCCTATTTCTTGGGTTTGCTTACCAACTAACTTTCCACACTCAGTTTCCCACTATCATCTGGGCACTCTGTTATGGTTGTTTCCAGCTAAGAAAACTAGGGTTGGACTGGGGGTGTGGTTCAGTGGTAAAGTGCACACTCAGCTTGCATTAGGCCCTGGGTTTAATCACCAGCACCAAAAACAAAAAACCTGCAGTTACCCTATCCACCTACTTTTGACTAAACTTTCAACATTGCTTTGCAAAGGGTAAGGAGCCAGTCATGCTTGGTTAAAGATGAATGGTCTTTTGAACATTTGTTAAGCAGTAGGCAGTTGCCTTTATCTTCTGAGAGACCAAATTGACTTCATTAATTATTGCAGAAATACTCTAAGGAATTAGTTCAAATTCTCAATGCCCTGTTATTGGGTTCTTCTATTTAGGCAAGCAAATTACAAGCCAATTTTAGATAGACCCTACTACAACTCCAGAAGAGGCTGCCCTAGGGGATAGAAAATGAAGACAGAGAAATGTGTATGTGCAAATTGTACTCTACAGATGGCAGGTCAAAGGCAGGGGATTCCTCTGGCCATGATAGCAAACGTTTGTCAACTACTAGTTTACCAATTGTTGGCAGTTACTCTTTATTGTTGATGATGCTTTCCTGAGGAGGTATCTGAGTACTGGGATACTATTTGTAACTTGGGCTAATGAGCATTATTAGCTCATCTAATTATAGATTTCTCCAAAAGAAAAAAGGACATACAGCCAGAAATTTGTTCATGTGATCGAGAACATCAAAGCACAACAATTAGCTCAGACATAATACCAGGTTGTGAGATATGTAATA